ATCATGGTAAAATCAATACATTCATCGCTCCGCTCAGAATCTAAAATTGTATCAGCTTTACAAAGTTAAAAATGCAATAAAATATTATGATTGAATATACTTTTAGTCCTGTATTTTAAATTACTGTGTTAAAAATCTTTTATGGGGATCATGTTAGGGTAAATCCATGGGAAATTTTGATCATGACTAACTAGGAGGTATAAACGACGAACTAAACAAGAAATATGAATCATATAGAGTCGGTATTTTTAACGGGAAATTAAGTGCACGGGGATCAGCTAGTTAAATATAAATGGATTGCGAACGAATCTTATTATATTTTTTCTTTCACGTCTTCCAGTTTAATGAATATTCTAATTACTAGATTATGCTTAAAACTTATCATAGAGCACCTTGCCTATAATATAAAGTAACAATATGATCTTAAATATTACAAGCCAAACTAATAGGGATGATTAAATGACCAAGTCAACGACGCACAAACGCAGTTATATATAATATTATAAATGTTACCAGAAATGTTGACAATTTAGTAAATGATGACAGTTCCTAGGGAATGATGACAATTCCTAATAGCGGAAGGAAATATTATATCATCGCCTAGGAATTGTCATCATTTCCGTACTTTTTAGGCAATGTTATCGCTAGTGCTCGGATGTTTATGAAATTTCATATTTTTTTTTATTTATTCAATTTAATGCTAACCTAGGTACAAATTTAATTCATGTTTTACTGAATCAAATAATACTATTTTTACTTTACATATTTTTGTGTTTTTATTGGCTAAAAATACATATATTGTAATTTTATTTATTTTTATAGAGTAGTTTTAAGTGCATAAACATTCGAGCCCTAGTTATCACGTATCGGTTTCTTACACGAAAGCATTGGTGACTATGATGTTGCAGGACGCAGGTCATGTAGCTTTACAATGTAAAGCTATTATAATGATAACTATTAACTAACTCGGAACGGTGAGATGCTAAAAACCATTTTATTGCCATTACTGTCAATATTGTCCGTGTTCTATTAAAAAAKATCAGGTAGGTAATGACTGATATCGTTAAAATGGTTGATAATATCACAGATTATATAATAATATACAGTAGGGTCTCGATAATCCGAACACAGGCTAATCCGAAAGACGCGGTAATCCGAACGGGCTTGAGAATTATCTTATCACCATAATATGTACAATGTACATACTATGCATGTATTTATAAATAATATTTTCCGGTAGCACAATTTT